TGCATAGCTAAAAAATGCACAGATCCCTGTGATGGAGTGTGTGGACTGAACACAATTTGTGTGGTACAAGAAGGAGATCCTTTGTGTTCCTGTAAAACTGGCTACGATGGAGACCCGTTTACGGAATGTAAGCCAGGTATGTGGGACTATATGTACAAGGTTATGCTCTTTGGGGTTGTATATCGAATACATATAGGAAGGAGGGGAAAAAACACAATGCTAGAACAGCCCGTTAAAATACATTTATATCGTCTCTTTTATTCATCCACTTTTCATATCCAATGAATAGTGCTGAAAATGTTGCTGTTACCTTATTAGTCTCACCGTTCACAAACTTAAATAAACTAACTCCTGGATGCAGCAGCTTACATTTTTTTACAAAAAAGGCCATGGTAAGAGTTGGTTACAGAACACCCTACTATATTTTTCTGAATAAAAAATTTTGTACTTGGTAATTGGTAATTGTTTTGGTACTTGGTTATCGATTGAAATTATCGGTTTTTATAGGAAACATCAAAACAATTTTAACGACTTTTCAACCGTAGTTTTTACAGTTTCGGGATTTGTGTAAAATATTTTAGATAGTAAAAATTGGACCACATGTGTTGTCATTAACTAAAGTAAGTAGTCTACAAATCTCCCCTTCACAAACACACATACACAAACGCACACACGGACATCAATTCAAAAACCACTTTTTGAGTTCGGGGGGACCCAAAACTTATAAGCTCGTAAATTTTGACAAAGAAAATACTTCCTCCATGAGGCGTTGACGTTACCTTATAATGCCATTGGAAAAATTAATTGTCATAGACACATTTTACATTACACTTTATATTACATACTGTGTTTAATATATTCTTTATATTTATAGAAAATGCAGAATGCACGGACGACTCCATGTGTACAACAGACAAGACCTGTATTGGCCACAAGTGTGTAGACCCTTGTCTGGACCATTGTGGGGTCAACACCGTGTGTAGAGTGGTCAACCATCGACCAGTGTGTGCCTGCCTCAAAGGATTCCTCCACACTCTAGACAAAGGCTGCCTTCCTGAGAGTAAGAAAATATTTGAACTGGTGAAACCTAACTTTAAAAATTGAATGGATTTACTCTGTAGGATATTAGATAAATAAATAAATAAATACTTTATTGTCTTGACAATATAAATTGTATCGACAGTACAATTAGGTATGCTATTAAATAAAACTTTAAATTTTGATGCATTTTTCATTGAATTCAATAGAGTAGATTGGATTTTCAGTAAGGATTTGTTTTAATTTTCTTTTGTATTCTTTTAATTTTAAATTTTGAATATCAGTTGGTAGTTTGTTAAATAATTTTCTTCTGTTGTAATAAACATGTTTTTCATAAAACCTTGTTTGGTGAAAAGTAGAAGAAAATGTTTGTAGTTTTCTCAAATCATAATTCTTCTCACATAATTCATCATTTTTCCAGAATTTTTCAAAATTGTTCCTTAAAAATAGTAATGTTTCATAAATATAAATTGAGTAAAAGGTCATAAATTGGTAATTTTTAAATAATTTTTTACAGGATTGGCGTGGTTTTAATTTGAAAATAATTCTTAATGCAGACTTTTGTAATTTAAATATTTGTTTAGTTTTTGATGAAGTTGAGCCCCATATAGGTATTGCATATCTAATATTGGAAATAATTAGCGAATGATATACAGTGAGTAATGCGTCTTCACTACAGAACATAGATAATCTTCTCAGTATAAAAATAATTTGGGAAAGTTTTTTACATAAGTGTTCAATACGTGAGTTGAAATTTAAATTTTGGTCTATAATAAGTCGTAGGAATTTGATTGTTTTTACTTCTTCTATATGTTGTTCATCAATTAAAATATTTAAGTTGAAATCTTTTAGCGAATTTCCCTATAGGGAAGTAGCTATAACCGTAGGTCTTATGGTAAGACTTAGGCCCGGGACCCATTTACTTTTTCATTTTGATGTCCCCAGAGGCCAAAAACACCATTCGTTCAAATTTTTATATATGTATATATATATTTATATATATAGATTTATATATATATATATATATATATATATATATATATATATATATATATATATGTGTGTCCGTGAACACGATAACTTGAGTAATTTTTATCCGATTTTGATGAAATTTGGTTTGAAGGTGTAAGGCGGGATAAACTTGAATAAGTTCGCGATCCAGCATGATCGGACCATGGGAACAGGGTTTTATGGGGTAAAAATTGGGTTTTCTCACTTTTGACCCTCAAAACACAAAATTTCCGAATTTTTCTCTAAACCTTCTTAAAGAGCTTATAAAAACAAACAATTCAGTATATCAAAGTGTTTTTGTACGGTTATTGGTTACGGAGAAAACTAAAAAAATTGTAAATAATTTAAAATCCCCATGCCATTCTTATGGAGAATATTGTTAAATGTTGTAGTTTGCTTGTTTATGGATATCTTTTGATCAAACTTGGCAAATATATTCATTTTATACTAAGCAATAATTATTTTACTTAAAACACACACTTTATTAGTTTCCTTGTAGCAGCAAACCTAGGTACTCGTTAAACCTAATTTTATTTAAATAGATCAATTGAAAAGCAATTCAGCCAAATGGAAATTCGCTTAGACAGCAGGTTAGCTGTGGCGGGGGTATTTTAATTTTATCTCCGATTGAAAATTCCATAAATTTGGTTTTATTTACATTAATTGTAAATGGTTTTCCATGAAGCATTGTGCTAGTTCATTTGCTTCTTCATAACATTTAATTTCCAATTCTTCTCTATTATGGCTGGATGTCAATAAGGTTGTGTCATCAGCAAATAATACTACTTCAGATAATTTTCTTGAATATGTCACATTATTTATGTATATTATGAATAAAATTGGACCTAGTACAGAACCTTGTGGGACACCTGATTTTGTTTCAAGTTTTTCTGAACTATAATATTTTACATTATTGTTATTATTAATAAATGGAATTTGGACTGACTGTTGCCTGTTACTAAGGTAAGATTCAAACCATTGTAGTGCAATTCCTCTTATTCCTTTACTATTGTCCACCCAAGGCCAGTATCACACTTTTAATTTGTCATCTCACGAGATAAGTGAACACATTTCTTAGATACTTTTACAGACAAAGAACGTGAAACAGTTTTACCACGCCACACTCACTTGCAGTTGTTGCTGGTTGCAGGTTTGATTAACAAGAAATTACGTTAATTTTATTTAAACTAGAGATCATCCAGGGGTCGAAAACTCGACCAAAAATATGTAATTTACAGATTTGTCAATTTTCACCCCTCACTGTAAATAAAACACGTGGTTGGAATTTATTCTATTTTTTTCTGTTCATATTTCGTTGTTATTTCGTCACCAGCATGGCAACCCATAAGGCCCATGCTAATTTTATTTTTATTTTTAAATTCATTTACCGTGCTTATTTTTGAGCCTATTTTAATTTATAAAGAGATTCTGCACACCTACAGGAAAATATCTTTCTAACAGAATGCGCAGATTTTCCCTACGATGCAAACGAGCTGAAAAATGTTTTAAAGAAACATGCTTGCCTATTAATATATAGATTACAAACGTAGGATTGTAATACCCCCGCCGCAGCAAACCTGCAGACAAAGTGAATTTACATTTGCCTGAATTGATTTTTAATTACATCTATTTAAATAACATTAGGTTTAACGAGTACCTAGGGCCGTTACAGGGAGGCTAATAAAGAGTGTTTTTTTAGTAAAATATTTGTATCTTAGTAAAAGATTAATAAATTTACCAAAATTCATCGAAATATTTCAATAAATGAGGAAACTACATACAACATTTTGCAATACCATAAGAATAACATGGTAAGTTTAAAATAGCAATTTTTGAATTTTCTCCGTATCAATAACCGTACAAAAACACTTTAGTATACTAAATTAATAGTTTTTTAAGTTCTTAAAAATTGTTTGGATAGAAATATGAAAATTTTGTGTTTTGAGGGTCAAAAAATGAGAAAAAACCCCATTTTTACCCCATAAAACCCCCCCGTAAAGCCCTGTTTCCATAGTCCGATCATGCTGGTTCGCGAATGCATTCAAGTTTATCTCACCTTACACCTTAAAACCAAATTCCATCAAAATCGGAAACATATTACTGAAGTTATCGCGTTCACATAGATGAAAATTCTGTAGAACTGCTAAGCTAGTCATTTTACAACTAAAAATCGTAATATTCCAGCTATTTATTATTCGATCTTTTTGAACTTGGAATTTTTTGATAGGGAATTAAAAATGCCAAATAAAAGTGTACTTGTCATTTTTTCATAAAATCAGCAATTTTTTTGTAATTTAAGTTTAAAAAACTAAAATGCTCGCCATTTTGAAATTTTATGATGAATCAAGATGATTTTTTTCTAACACGGGTCTCTATTACCTTAACACACATAAGTTACCAAGTTTCACAATGATCGGTTAAAATGTTGATGCGAAAAAAACAAAATGGCGAATATCTGGTTAACAAAGTGATTTTAGAAACAAATTTTATTCTTGATTTTCTCTTCATTTTGACCCATAGAACCGTTTCCCGGGAGTTGGTTGTTTAATTATGGGACACCCTGTATATATATTTATTACATGTATACAAATTTGAACGAATAGTGTTTTTGGCCCCTTGGGACATCAAAATAAAAAAGCATATCGGTCCAGGCTCCATGTCTTAATCTTAACACATATTCGTCTTAACCATGCTACCTACGGTAATAGTTACTTCCCTATAAGGAAATTTGCTAAAAGCCAGCCAAGTCAAAGCACTTTATAAAACCACAGTATTTTGAGACAGTTTAGAACTTGTGGACCCAATCATCACAATTTTAAAGTCAGTTCAGTTATAGAAGTTTAAATTCAATGACCCCTGAGTCAGTTTTCAAGGATTCACTAAAATCACGAGTCAACTTTATAGTTTTAGATCTAAATAACTTAGATTTACAATTAGTGAGGTTGTTGCAGGTTCAACTGACAATAAGGAAAACAAACAAAAAACAATTAAAGGGAATAAAATCTTCATACTTGTCAATGAAAAGGTCAGTATACTAAGCTCCCTACAGCAAATCCTAAAAACTCAAAACAATTTTCAATAAAGGAAGTAGTATGTTCTATATTTTTGATGGAACCGTGCTTAATTTTAAGCCGTAGATTGGAATCTTTAAATTTGTTTTACGTCAACATTTACCTCATTCCTGTGTGGACGAGCGGAGTTGAATGATATAATTAATCGTTTTATTTACTATGCAATGTAGGAAGTCTTTATAGAAATTAAATAATGATTTGTGAAAATTACAAGAAACTATTTTGAAGCCAATCAATCAGTAAATAGACTAACTTGTAGTCCATTTATGTGTTGCAGAAAGCATGGTATCGCGCCTATGTACACTGCCGTGATCATGGAATGAATCTGGCGGCAATCGAAAATGATGACGAATGGAACAATTTTGCTTCAACCATCCGTAGTAAGTAGCTTTTTAAACACATAACCACGCTCTCCCAACAACTTAGGAAGAGGTTTTGGATACAATCAAATCTAAAAAAAAAAATAGAAATCGGCTTTTGTTGATGAAATATCCCCCTTATTATTAAAATAAACGGTATCAGCATTCTGACACATACTTTCTCCCATAAGTTTGTCAACAACCTTTATCATGTGTAAGCGATGAGGGTAAATATACGGAAATGGGATTAGTACAATTTTGATCAGAATTTAAAGGACTATAACATTATCAAAATCGTTCGGGCCATTTTTGTGAAAATCCAGTTTTTCCGTTAATTTATGGAGTTTTTATAGGAAAATAACATAATTTACAATAACTTTTGAACCGTATTTTTTTACAGAAATGGGATTTGTACCATTTTGTTTAGAATACAAAGGACTATGACATACTAAATTTTGATCAAAATTGTTCGGGCCGTTTTTGGGAAAATCCTATTTTTCCGTTATTTTATGGGGTTTTATGTAAAAAATCCCCATTAAAAACCAAAATTTCAAAAAATAAAAATAAAATAAAAATTGTAAGGACCATAACATACTCTGTTAAATAAAAACCGGATTTTTTTTTAATCCTATTTTTCGTCATTTTATGGGGTTTATATGGGAAAATAACATAATTTACCATAACATTCGATAATGTGGAAATTGCGTGTAAGTTGCTGATACAGTTTATTTTATTCCACCTTAAGACATAAATATCGTTTATGTTGACAGATAAAGTTTTGGACGTTAACGCATGGATTGGTGGTAATGCCGAGCGCCGTTATCCAGATTTCCGATGGATATCCACTGGACAACCACTTTCATATACACATTGGAGGGCTGGTGAGCCTAGTGGGTTTTTCCACTGCTTGGCAGCTTCCCGTGAGGGATTTGCTAACTACGATTGTTACCAGTTTCGTAGTTTTGTATGTGAACTTAGTAAAATCGAGGGCTGAAAAGTGAATCCCTAAATCTAGATCATAGGCACGCAATTTAATCGATGATTATCCTGTAAAGTAAATATTCCAAGTTGTATGTATTTGTATATTTTCTCTTAGTTATTCTTTCTTTTTCTTACCTATACAGCCATAGCAATTTTTTATCCCTGATTCCCAATCAAATAAAGAGAAATGTCAAAGAAAGTTATTCATCTTTACTCTTTCTCCCCTACACGTAGCATATACTTACTATGTTGAACTTTCTATGTTGAGAAAGTTACTAATCATCAACACTTTTTGTTTGAGTTTTTGATGGTTGTGACCGTTTTGGTAACCCTTGATCGGCAAAACTTTCCCTCCCTGCCACAGCAAACCTGCAGGCTTTGGTTGGAATAATCACTAAAACATTCCCTTGATGTTGTCAAGTTCATTTTCTATTTCAATAACATTAATATAAATAATTAGATCTCTTTAGGTTTGCTGCTAACCTGACTCCATCTTCTCAGGTACCAACCAAGGTAATCAGTTATCTACACTGAGTTTACCGAGAGCAGGTATTTTGCCGGCAACTGAACTAGTATTAGTAGTATTAAGAGCGCAAAGTACGTCATTGCCGCTCGAGAACTAGAGCGGTAATGATTGTTTGTGCTCGTTATACACACACGATTTTTCCTACCACCATAATTAACCTATCACAACACACAGATTAACGTTTTGTATTGTTTGAATTTTTCTAACTTTAATAACTCAAAAACGGCTATGAAAAGTCTTTGAAAAAATTCCCTATCAAATGATACCAAGATCAAAAAGATCGGACAATAGATAACTGAAATATAACGTTTTTGTGTAAAAATAAGGCAAAATTGGGTTCCCCGACTAACTTTGCCTTATTTTTACACTAAAAAACTTTATATTTAAGTTATTTTTTGATCTTTTTGATGTTGGTATCGTTTGATAGGGAATTGAAAATGTAAAAAAAAGAATTCTTGGAATTTTTTCATAGAATTAGCCGTTTTTGAGTTATTTAAGTTAGAAAAATTCAAACGGCCGCCATTTTAAAATTTACTTTCGGGACAACTTTATTATTTTTTCTTTTAGAGGTTTTCCGTACAACGACAGGAAATGTGTGTGATTTAGTGTTGATATAGTGAAAAATTCATTGTACATGGTTACCAAATTTCATAATCATCGAATGAAAACCTTCACAGATAAAAATATTTTTGTATAAAAAACAAAATGGCGGATAACTGGGTAAATATGCATTTTCGGACATCGCTTCACATACACTTTTTTCTTCCTTTTAGTATGAGGATTCATTTCCCAAAGTCCTGAAACGTTTTTTATGAACACCCTGTATATATATAATGTCATTTAGGTCATGTTTGCCTTTTGGATATGTTATTTGCTTGTTAAAGCAAGTTATTGTTGGGTTGTTAAAGCACCGTCTCCGTGGCAAACCAAAGTACTCATTAAAATCGATGTTATTTAATAGGAAATAAATCTGGCAACTTTAGGGAATATATTATTAGAAATATAGCCAAGTAAATGGAAATTTGCTCGGTCTCCAGGTTAGCTGTAGGAGGGGTATTTAAATTAATTTAACGATTCCTAAAAGTGTTATGCAGTAAAATACAAATTTTCAAGTTACAAAAATAAAGCCGATATTTTGATTTAAACTAGTTAAATATAACCATCAGTGTCCTTAAATAATAGTTTTGGATTCAAAAGTATTCATCTGTTTAAATGAGAACAAATCATTTTCCATAAGGATGTCATGGGGACTTTAAAGACCGCATGATATCCCGCAAGATGGGGCAGAGCCCTGGTGAAATTTCTTAAAAGCGCTTCTTATTGCACACCTAGAGCTTAACTGGAACCTCCATTCCAATCCCTAAGTTCTTATGACTTGTAGTTTTTGATTTACAGTGATCAGTTAGTGAGTGAGTTGTATTTGTCTTGTATATTTTATTATATTCAAAGTTAATGAAAGAAAACGTTAACATAAACATAGTTTTATTCCCTTACAATCACTACCACTACTTTTTAATTATTTGTAAACAGCTGCATCAATAATAAAACATCGTATGTTTTTAATGCAGACCAAGAACCATGTTAATATTATACTGTAGACAATTTTAAGGTATATGTAATAGCCAAAAATCCTATATATGAATACATATATGAATAGCCTAGCATGTTTCTTGAAAACCTTATTTCCCAGCTCATGTGCATAGCACAACAATTGACGCATACTGTTAGAAAGATATTTTGCTGTGGATGAGGATATTCCCTTTATAAATTAAGGCTAATAATTAAGCACAAGAATGTAAAATGTAAAAATTTTACATGAGCCTTATGGGTTTTCATTACGGTGACGAAATGATAACGAAATATAAACAGAAAATCAAAACAAATGGGAAGCAATTCCAATCACATGTTTTCTTTATAGCGTGGGTTTACAATAGAGAAGTTTGTACATTAAATATTATTTTTGGTCGAGTTTTCTACCACTGGACGACCAGTAATACGCTGGACGGTAAGTATTGAATTTAAAACTAACACCATTATTATCCTCGCAAAAATTAATAATAAGGAAATGACACTGGAGGGTAACGTTCTGTTGATTTTGTCACCTAGCAACAGAAAAATCAATACACAAATTGATCAATCGCAAATCATTCTTTGTACATACAGACGTAAAGAACTGACTTACGCATGCAAGTCTAGTAAACTTTACCTTTGACTAATGATAGAAATAAGCGTTCCATTCCCATGATAAAGTCGTCAATGATTTTTAAATCAAAATTGACGTACATTATATATATTAAATAATGTTATATTGTACACACTACTATCTTGAAGTGAGCCACCTACAGATTGTGTTGGTTTAAATTACAATCTTTAATCTAACATCTTTAATTTTAATCTTTGTCAAACATGCGGCGAATATAAGGTAAAATTATAATTGTAGACACTAGCGCAATCTGTCACTTGCTCACACAACAACTACGTTCTTAAAAAAAAAAAATTACAGCTGGTTTATATAGGTATATCTACTTCAGTATTCAAAAGTATAATAGTTTCAACCGATTGACAAATTTTCAAATCGATGCTACCTAACTGAAATTGAATGTCTATAAGAATGATTTAACTATAAGAGCTTCTACTGTGCGACACGTTGGTAAAACACTTATGACTTTCATTTAACCTAAATAATGAGATTAGATTAATGAGTATATTCTAGCTTGTCTGGAAGCTATATAGTTGGTGAAGAATGAATCAGTGAGTGAGTGAGAGCTTTGATTGTTATATGCTTGTATAATTATTTAATTTATTACAAGTTTTTTTAAATTTCATATTTATTTGAAGGTAACATTATTTTTGCCGAAAAAATAGTCATATTTAGACTTGAATTATGGCTATCTAGCCTCTAACCGCGGCATTATTACACTGTTGAATATCATTTGTGATTGGTGCGATTTGAACTCGTAAACCCGCGGCTTCAGTCCACCCAGCGTGGACCAATACATAGGTGGTTTACATACCACTAGACCAGCTCACTCACCTGAAACAGAGGCCAATAGACTAATAAATCATCCAAATCTGAAGACAGTAGTGACTGATTGAAAATGTTTGTATATATGCTTATACAAATTTTGATCTATGTTTTTTTTAAGCTTTATTTGTTTTTAATGGTTTTTTAATGAGGAGATCGCAAAATATGAGGTTTAATTGCGTACATGACTTACTTACTCAACTTACTTACTTATTCAATTTATTAAGTAAGCACTAAACTTAAAAAAAGAAGTTCACAGAATGTTTTTTAAAGCTAAATAAATTGACATTTCATCCTTTTCTTTTTTTATTGGTTAAACATTATTCATTTTATTTCAACTAACTTATTTCACAACCTGGAAGAAGAATTGTAGAGGCTTGCGATTTTATCATGATTTCTCAAACATATTTAAGATTGTAAAATAAACTTACTTATAAATTCTATAAAAAAAATTGCTGAAGCCTTAAGAATTTAATAGGATGCAAAGCCTTAGCAGTGAGTGTCAATCAAAAAGCTTTATCGGTGCTTTCGTATAGTTAAGATTGTGAGAGTAGTGAACTATTGATCTGTGAAATACCAGTTACTTAACCACTATAATTACTTAATTAGTTACACTATAGCCCCAACTTACGAAAAACTATTCTAAAATTTACTACCAGAGCATAAAACGTAAAAGAAATACTGAATGGAAATTAACTAAAAAAACTTTAAGTACCTTACGGTATATACAGTGTTTTTGAATTCTACATAAACGATTTTGGGAATCTTTCCTGGTTCAAAATCATCGTTATTTAACAGTGTGAAAGTGCCTACTTAATCCAAGCTCCAAGGGGTCAACTGGAGTCAACTGTTTTCAATACGTATGTGTTGCAGATGTACTAATGAATATCTCTATCAGTCGAGGATCTTTGTTCTACCAATATAAATTAAATGAAAAATGTCTTTATTTAGGAGGCAAAGTTAGGACTTGTAAGGCCTTTCTACCACTTAAACTCTAAAACATAAATAAATAAAACTTATTCACCTATATAAGTAAATTTAAATAATCTTAAGTGCTACATTAAATAAGTAAACATGAAGAAATTAAATTTAGTAGGTAGTCAAAAAAATCCCATTCACAAAAGCCGCCAACAACCTCTTACACCAGTGCCAGAGACTCACTCATGCCTGCTGCCATAGCCGTCTCTAGTAATAAGGCCGCGGCCTTCGATGTGGCAACGCCGCGACTCATCCCCGCCCTGGTCCAACTCCGGGTATTGCCGCCAGCGTTAAAACGTGCAACATTTCGCCAAAACTGCGCTTATTCACGTTTAAAGCTATGAAAATGTAGCCAGATCAATAGATTAATTTTTAGCATGAAATGCCGCTTACCATTTTTCAGATTGTATTACGAAATCTATATAATTAATACGCTACATGAAACTTTGTCGGTTGAACTCCTCCGCCATTTCTTAGCCGATTTTATCCATTGACGTCTCATTGGAAAGAGCGTGTCGCGTAGATTTGCAAACTGGCCTTACATTTTTGAAAAAGTCCCTTGGGCTCTGCCCCAGTGGCTTTGAAAGTTCCCATGTTATCCTTATGAAGAACATAATTGTTTACATTTTGATCAGCTGTTATTTATTTTTCAATCCAATGAAACGCACGGAGTACATTTATTTACTATTTGAGTTTGTGTAAACATAACCCCCAAGACAGATCGGGTTAGTATGGTTGTATCTTAAATTTTCGTATTTATCGTTGTTTTGTGTCGCTATGACGGATCGTGTTAGCATGATTGTAACTTAAATTTGTGAATTTATCGTTGTTTTGTGTAGC